TTAATAATATTAATTATACAGCTTTTTTCAATAAATAGTGATGTCAAATTTTAGAACTTTTATATTCAAGGTTTCTGGAAATTTCAGAGTTTAAAAATTAAATTTTATTTTTTAATAGAGCTCTTTTTACTTAAGCAGTTAAGCCTGGTAAAAATTAGAAATATTTATTGAATTTTGAAGTATATTTCATAACAATAAAATATACCATATCTAAAAATGTATTAATTTAAATGTTTTGTTTGTAAACATAACTAATAAGTAATAAGTATAGAAGTAATGTTAGTATTTATTATTTGATAGGTAGTTTTGCATTCGCAGTATTGCTACTTGATTACAACAATATTAATGTAAATAAAAACAAATAATACAATTTTTTTCTTCCACATTTTCTATTTACATCACTGTAACATTGTAGGTAATAACTAATAACTAATTATAATAATATAATAATATGTAGCGACCATAGACATATTATATAAACAAATAGATAGCCGACTTTGGTTTATCTTTGGAGGCAAAATCGCCATATGCCTAAACGGCAATGTTTATATTTTAATGTGATAACAGTAATTAATAACAAAAAAAAAACAGTAAGCCCCAATGGTTTTGTCATAGACTATAGACTTAAAAAATGTCTATGATGGTGTGGTGATTACGTCGGGGCGCGAAGTGTTACGACCCGGTAATCGACCAACAATCTACTCGTGCGTAGGAAAAACAGAGGAGAGTAATTAAAAAAACACAGTAAAATTCAGCGTAAAGCGAATACGTGGTCCGTATCGAGTTTATTTTATTATTTTACGAAACAAAAAAAAACGTTAAAAAAAAGAAACAATTCAAAAGAGGTTCGAGCACGTTCGTGGTGCGGAACACGGATATAATCGTAGGCGTGCAGATGAAACGTATAACTTTTAAACAAGACGGGACAAAAAAAGGTTTTGACGAGTCGGGCGTCGAAAAAAAGAGTGACGGACAAAATCGCGGGACTAAAGCTCGAGGGTAGCTTGACCGTCGAAAAAGTCGGTGGGGAAAATAATTCGCGAAGTTTACAATAAATCACGGAACATATATACAAAAAAATACAAAGAGAATATAAAAACAACTACGACCGCCGGGCCGGGCTGACTCGTGATAGCGAGTGGTGATACCGGTCGTGTCACCCTCAGAGTAATAATCACCACAATGGGTTTTGTCAGTTATCTATATCGTGTTATCACTTATCACATAACAATGTAAACATTGCCGTTTAGATAAATGGCGGACAAACTTCAAAATTCTGTACAGTGCTTGGAGATAGTTGGCTATCTAGTTGTTTATATATATCATTGATATTTAATCAATGTATATATCTATGGTAGCGACCTACCAATTATATGATTTTTTAAATTAAATAATCATTTTCGTTTTAATCATAAATTATTATAACCAACCAATTCAGAGATTTAACAACTAAGACACTAGGTATATGCGTTATTTCGTATACACCATACACGTATTACCTACAAATGGAGTATTGAATACAATAAAAGTTTAAAAAAATTACGAACTTCGTACGAATTTGGATGATTGTGATGATAAAATTATCGATGTTAACTACCTATCATACCTACTATTTACTACTTCATGTTTTGATGTTTTGTGTAGAACGTTAAGTGTCAGTTACATCTCAGTCTCCGCGTTATACATTACCATACGAAATTAAAAATTTTTTTTTGGCAAAAATATGGAAGTTATTAAATCTAACAAAGAATGGTATACACTTTTATGGAGTAAATATTCATATAGGTACCATCAATAATTATACATCGAAAATTCGAAAACGAAAGCGATTAACTTGGAGACGTATAAACTATAAAATAATGGTTTTTGAAATGTCACAGAAGACAGAACAATGTATAGGTACCTCCGTGTACATGGTCTTGGAGAAATGCAATTCTCAAATCCAAAAAGTTGATGTACCTATACCCGATAGCTGATTTACACGAGGTTAATATTTTTTTTATGAATCTACCGAAAAATGGAAATTGTGATTTTTGTAATATATTTGATATTTAATTAATTTGAAAAATATTCGTTTAATTATAATGAATTAGTGAAAATTAAGTTTAAATACATTATAGGTATACGGTTCGGGTAACAGCTTCCATAATCACCAGCACCTATATCTTAAATGGAAGTTCCCTCTTAACATGAGTCATCATAATATGTGATCATGAATCAATATGTGAATGACTATTTATATATAATTATAAATTAATATAAGTAATATTATGATACGTCGCTTTATCACAACTTTTCCAGCGGCTACACTTATCACTAAGGAAATGAATTTGTAGGAAAATACATTATTTTCTAGTTAATTATAAATCATTGCTTCCTAAACACCTAGTTTAAATTAGGTAGGTACCTAATAAGTACCTACCTACTAAATACTAATGAATTCAATTTTGAGGCTTAATTTGCAAACATTTTTTATATTTGATGTCTTACATCTTTTTCCGACATTCTTTTCATTATTTTATTAATTTATTCGATATTTTGAATAATTTAAGTCAACTTAGACTATTACACATATTTTATAAATTATTGTTTAATCATGGTCTTATAAATATTTTATACGATCTGTATGCACCACGTACGCGAAGAGTTTAAGTATACGAAGTATTTCAAGTTCATATGTTGCATGAATCACTCGTAGATATATACAATTGCTAAATGGCCGACTCCCCTATATAGCATAGAACCATGCGACTCGGCTTGAAGTTGGAATCTTTTTTTTTTAATATGTCATTCCAATAAACATATCATAAAATATTACTTATAATCATTTTTAATATTATAAGCTATACGTTATTTAGTAGGTAGTAATTAGCAAGTTAGCATAAATTAAAATTAATTTATTCATACTCAAGTAAAGTGGTTTAATTTTTACAATCATCATTATCATTACCTATCATGAATGTCACAAAAAACAGTCCTATGCCCGATGCCCGTGATCCAGGTCAACCCTCAGATATAGATAATAAACTAGATTGCTAACTAGTGATAACAGCCGACGCCAAAAAAATGTCGCTTTGTTTGTGAGCTCTGTAAAGTGTTATCGTCTGACAACCCTAATTCATCATTAGACGGATTTGATAAAATACCATAGGCATAGCCCACAACCTAAATGTTAAAAAAGTGACACCACCCGTCCTGCTTGTCAATGTATAGTAGTTAGCGATCTAGTTTAGATATTATATTGCATATCTGTGAGGTTAACTAAAATACGTTTTCTGTGAACAGTATGGTATTTTAATAGTAAGTTGGGGCTTCTTCTATTATGTTCTATGCTATACATCCAATATATTACACTTAAATAGGTTATTTATTTTCATAACCATCGATTATTTTATTATGAAAGTTATATTTTTGAAATAAAGAACTATCGATGATGTTTTAAGAGTTACGAATTTTATCATTTTTTTAAATTTATTATTCACATTATCTATGTGGCATGTGTAATCACAAATTAGTAGAGGGCGATTAAAAAAATATATATTTTGGAAATTTCAATCATTTTTTCAAATGTAAAAGTTTTAACCAGATAATTTTTTTTTTTTTGCAAACATAATGCTAACTGCATAATATGTTTTCATATTTCGACAAAATGTTATATTTATTGTATACTAATATTAAAATAAACTATATAGGTACACTTAAAATTACAACAAAACATTTTAGCACCAAACTCAATAATACAAATTTTAAGATCTGAGAACTGTGGCTTAGAGTTTAAATTTTTGAAATATTTATTAAAACCAAGGCACATACTAAAAAATATTTATCTTTCAAAAAAAAAATCTATAACAACTAATTAACAACCTAACTATTTATTTTTGATTGCACATTTAAGTTTAAACTAACCAGTGTAACCTAATTTATTAGTTTCATTTCAAGAAAATTAAAGTAAAATTTAGTGGTTTAAGTATTTTTATAGAAAATACCATATAGTACCTACTTGGTGCCTTGGTGACAAGAACACACATATATATTATTAAAAATTTGCAATTATTTATCAAATATCAATCCAACTGAAAGTCGCAATAAACAACGAAATGAATGGTGTGAAAATACTCAGATTTACAATTTACTTTTTCTTAAAACCAACCTACGAGTTACGGTTTTACTAAAATCTAATATTCAATAGGTAATAATAGCTAATACAAAGTGATTCTGTTACATCAAACTTGTTTGCTTTTTTAGTAATTTAGTAATGATGGTTAACTACATTGTAAGTATAAAAGAACAATACCTAAATTTAACTTTTGTTTTATTGTTTTAGACAACACATGGCTTATAACCACTGGTCATTTATAATAACTACTGAAACATGTTATGTATTACAATTAACAGTCAAACAGTAACATAATATTGTATTACCTACGTCATCTTAATAAGTAAATACATCCAACAATTATGAATTAAAATATATATTAACTGCAATAATTAGAGCAGAATGGACAATACTGATTATTTTGTATTAATTAATTAACAGATATAAGATTAATTTAAGTATTAAGTATGTATTTGTATGAAAAAAACTTGACTTACAATCATTTTTTATCAATATTTAAAACAATTCAAACTATTGTATAACGCTTTACACTTACATTTTAGACATTGAGATTTACAATTTTTATATTTTATTTTATTAATATTAAAGTAGCATTTAGAGTCGTTTAAATATTTTTATAGAAAATATCATATAGGTACCTACTATTGGTGTCAATACACTTGGTGTATATTAAAACACACACACTTTTTTAACAATATTTAAAAATATACACACAATTATAAAAATTCAAAACATATTTGTATTCACATTTATTTATAAACTATAAAAATTTTCATTTATTTATAACTAAACAATTTTCAATTTAAAGTATTTTTTAAAACATATTTGTACTCAAATTTAATTATAAACTATAATAAATACTATTTATTTATAAGTAATAATTTTCAATAGTGACTATCATATTACTTTGTTACATATAAATAAACTGAAATTGTGTATTAAAAAAAAAGGTAACAAACTTAAAGTTTGTAAATGTTAAGATGCTTAGAACAATGTTTTCTGTATTAAACAATGATATAAATTTAACATTTAAATATAAAATAATTATGATACCAAACATTATTTTTAATCAATCTTCAAAAATGCCATTTTCATCATAAACACTATCTTCATAATCAGAATCAGGATACTCTACACTTAACTGTTCACCATGAGCCTTTATTTTGTAACTATTCAAAATTTTACACCACAAATTCAAGTTTTTACCTTCAGCAATGCAAAATTCTGTATCATAAATAATATATTTATGCTTTTTTGTACATTTTAAAAGTCTAGGCCAATGGTATTTAACTTTGATTAGTTTTTGTGCTTTTATGAAAATTCCATCAAAACCTACACGACAAGTACATAGTTTATCTATTATAAGCCCAAATAAAACTGCTGTAAAGGAATAGGATACAGAATTTGTTTCAACATTTATTGTTATAGTATTCATTGTATATGAGGTATTATAATCGTTTACAGATAAAATATTCAATTTAAGATAAATCCATGTATCATCTTGATGCCAAAAACATTGAGGCACCACTGGAGTCACATTGCAATCCAGGCAATATTTTTTTTCAATCTTTTTACATTTCTTCTGTTCTATGTTTGCAATTACATTATCTTTATTTACTGATTTTAAATCTGACTCATTTTTTTTTTCATTTATTGAATTTGGCACAGTTTGAGTTTCATTTGTTTGATTTGAATATTTGAATAAACTCTCCAATAAATCCATCTGACATTTTAATTCTTCTTCATCGAGTTCATCATCATCATCATCATCGATGATGGTATTTTCAGTTTCATGTTCCTTGTATTTATAATTTGAGCTTAAAATAATTTGTATTTGAGTATTATCAACATACATACTAAATTCATCAGCCATAGAGACATTTATATTTACATCATTTTTAAACAATACAACTTCATAATGGGTTCCAGTAAACTTTGCATTTGTGGTAGAAGAAAGAACTTTTAAGTGTATCGCAGTATCTGTAAGTTCCAACAAACGATTATTGAACTGATCTACAATATCTGTCTGTAAAATAATATTAAAACCACTTAAACTACACTCAATTACTTGAAATGGTAACTTTGTTATTAAGCTTGAAGGTATAGTCAATAAATTATCAATTTCAACTTCGTAAAATTCACCATAATCTACAAAAAGAACTTTAGCTTTTTTATGATTGATTTGTAGAATAATAACACGGTTATATTTATTTTGTTCAGGTGCTAAGGCTAAACATACATTTCCTACAGTAGCGTAAGTTAATTTTTCAATAGTTGTTTTACTGATGGCATCATCAATGTCTCTTTGAAGAGCAATAACTCTTCCATAAAATTCCATATTAATAACAAAAAAACATTTTGGACCATCTACATAACAAACAGTTACATTTGAGATTATTTGCTCAGACAAGTGAGCCCATTGTACTTTTATCACTTCGTCAATTTCATTTTTTGGTTTATCACATGAAAATAATGATATATTTGGTTTTTTAATGATTAAAGGTTTTTCAATAAATACATTTTTTTTCCATACACGGGCATCTTTATCTAAGTTTGTTAATTTGTCAATGAGCAAAGAATTCTGTCTTGCAAAATTGCGTTTAATTAATTCATTTGGTAATATCAAAGGACTTTTATACAGTTTACATGCAAAGTGAGAACATTTAATACATTTTTTTGCTAAGATCCAATCAACCCATATATTTATTCCTAATATAAGTTCAACTTTGCAAATAAATTCTAAATCTGTCAAAATACTTGGTTCTAATAAACTACGTACAAGATTTGTTGTATTAACTGGCCAACTGAGTACAGAACCTGCCTCTACCACTGGTTCCATGGAAGATATGATGATTTCAACAGCTACAGGCCTGTGTTCTTTTAAATGGCTTGGCAATACAAATATTTTATTTGAACTAACTTCTTCTGTATGTCCCATGTCAATTAAAATAACTTTTACTTTAACTGTAAGCCAACCATAATATATATTCAAGATCACTGCTCGATAAAATTCTCCTTGTTCAGTTTGGACCATAACCATTTCCCCAATGGTAAAGGTTTTACATAAAATGATAGTATTTGGTGTTGAGTTGATGTTTTTTAATTCATATTTTATTCTTTCAAACAAGTCATCAACGCTAATCCAATCTTGATCTTTTGTAGGATTCTTTTTAGTACTATACTTAAGAATTCTGCCATAAAAATGTGAAGCACTGATGATTTTTGTCAGTCGCACACTAATCAAACATTTTGTGGGAATATTGAGACATTCTTTATCAAGTGTTTTACATAAATCATGACGTTCTGGACATGATCCTTCACAGATACCAAATTGTTTGACTTTATCACAAAGAAATGGACGTGTAATTGATACTTTACTATCTCTGAATGGTATTTTTATAAAATCAAACATATTTGATGTATATATCAGTTCCTAAAAGACAAAAATATTAAAACAATTACAAATATATTTTATCAATTAAACTAAAATGATATAGATAGGTACATTTAGAAACATAGCCATCTGCAGATTTTTTGTGGGCTTTTTAGAATAATTTTAGTTAGGGAATCTCCATCGTCTTACTATACTCAGTCATACAGATGCAGGATATTAAACAATTGATTAACTTTATCATTTAAATAAAGGTCAAGTTTTTTCCAGTTTAAAATACATAGACAAAAAATATATGTTTTATACTTAGGTGTCACACATTTTACCAGCAGTTAAAAATTACAATAATATTTTTAAATGAATCAAAAACATCAAGTATGTAATATTGTCTGCAGTTTCGGATGTGTAGCCGCACACCCTGCACAAAAAGTGTGAACACCTAAGGTCATAGAGTTGAGTTCAAGAAATAGCATTATATATATACCTACTTGTAACTAAACCAATAATTAATAAATATAACTCTAAGATAAGTAAAACAAAAAAAAATTAGCTTTGAATAAAATGCACATACAACCAAGCCTAGACATACACGAGTTAAAAAGTTAAAGTTAAGTTAATTTTAACTTTTTGACTTAACTTTTTAAAATTTAATTTTCTTAAATTAACTGAATTTTAATGATATAAACTTAATAAATATAATGAATTACTTTTGATCAAATCCAAGTTATGTTAATTTATAAATAGTTAAATACCTACCAAAATTAAATATAATATAATTATTATTGGCGATGAATATATTGCATAAACATTTACGTTTTAACCATATAAACTATATTATTGGCTATTTATGTATTTAAAAAAACTTAACTACCTAAATAAGCTAATTGTAAGTTTCCATAAAACTTTTAACTTTTGAGTGTTAAAAACAAAATTAGATTAACTATTAATAAAAATAAAAAATGGGGGTCTGAAAATTGTTTTCGGACAATAATTACTTCAATGTTTAAATATAAGTAGAGTTTTAAGCGTGACGTCATCTATCCAATTTAAAATATGTGCATATCGGATACGGTTACATAATTTCACTTACATGTTATTAAGTACCTACCTACATTTCTTTTAAGATTATACATTTTCTCAGATTTTCATATTATTGCCACAGCATTAAAAATTGTTTTAGGGTAGTTTTAGGCGGGGCACCTTAGTTGCGTCCCACCATATGCGTGAGGTAGTAGAATTTTTACTTCGTTTTCAGGGGAGTTTTCCTTGGATTGATATCAATATTACTATTTATTTTATTATATTATGGACTATATTGATTTTGATTAGATATAAGTGATTCAACGTTTATTTACATTTTTATTACATTTGATACACATTTTTTATTGGCTTGTGATATATTTATAATTGTAATTTATTTATTTGTTATTTATTTCAATGTTAGTTGTTTAAGAAGCAATAATTAAAATACACTAATTGCGTCATGGATTTTAGAGACGCAATTCGTGTATACCTTCTTTACGGGACGCCACTCGTGTGCTCCCGTTTTAGGAAGGATTAAAACATAAATGGTGGGTAAGCGGGTGACGCTCTGCTGTATAGCATAGGTTACAAGTGGGTCACTGCAATGTAATGGATGATGTTAAATTTAATTCTATGATATATTATCATTGAATACGAGAAACGATTCTGAGCGGAGACGGTTTGTCGGCACTCAGGCTAGGATATTTTATAGTACATTTATATCATTATTATTAATACGGTAGCTAGTAGGTTTAATTTATATTATTTGCATGTTATCAAGTTTGTACATAATAATATGCTTTAGAAGGTTCAAGTATCCCCGAATAATATTTTTAAATTATAACAATATAACCTAAATCATCATTCTTGGTTATTAAATATATGTAATTTCGCTCAAATTTAAACTTAAACTAATACTAAATATACCGCTAAATCGAAAAACATGGACATGGTTCTTCATATTATATTCTTCTACCTTTTATATATTTAATTACCAATAACTATTGCATATTTTATTTTTATGTTTATCTAACATGTTAATATTAACTGTTCAACCACAGAATAGATTTGATTTAATCTATTCTGTGGTTCGGCATTATTATGTAATTTTAATTTTAATTGGATTATGTTATATCACTATCTACAAACTACTATTGTCAATTATCTGTTTCATGCATATTGTATCCTTATTATGCTCATTTTATTCCTAACTATATTGTATATTGTAATTATCGAACTATTATAGTTGTATGCTGAAAGTTCTAAAATTAAAAAAATTAAAAATTAACTATACAAAAAAACTGTGTTCAAATATTTTTTTAGATTTTTGGGTTGTACCATGACTAAACTATATACCAACTTTTTAACTCATTAATTAAAATATGTATCAACAAGTGTAAAATGAAAGAAATATGCCCTAAAAGCAAAAAAACCTTAATATAAGCATTTATATGCAGATTAAAATTATAAAACTAGCTTTGTCTTAGCATAAGACATATTTGTTTCTTACTCTGCTATTTTTATTACTGTGTAAAACAAATATGCGAACGCTACAAGTCCTCTACCCTAGGTGTAAGGAATACGCATAAACGGTACTGTACAATTTTTGAACTTAAAACCATACAAATTTATTTAAATAGTAGATTAAATGATATTTATAATCTTATAATATAAACTATAATATGATCTTTGGTGGTGGGGGCGATTTCCCCCGCCTCTTACCCTCAAATACTTGCCTACTTACGTGGAACCTTGTCTTAAATTTTCAATCCTTAACTATAAAAGTTTATATTTCAAGATTTTTGACCCAACAAAAAACATTTTATCGACATTTATAAAAAAATAAAATTAAAATAATTGAAAAATAAAAATGTCCATAAACAGCTTAAAACGAGTCGAAATATTTAAAAGAAATGTATAGAAAACGCTAATATAAACATTCAGTGAAAATCTCATGAATCTACAGTTATTCGTTTTTGAATTACAGCAAAATAAAAAAATCACTCCATGAGAAATCAAGTGAATATCCAATGTTGTAAAAATTTAAACTTCAAAAGCTCAAATTTTAATTTGATTTTTTGGTAGACATTTCTTTTTTTTGATAAAGGTTGAGAACAGACGTATGAGAAATCTTGTATTACATTTCAATAACATTAACATTAATTAAAAAATAAACGAAAATTAGGACAGAACATGTTTGTTTAGAAAAAATCAATTTTTTTCCTTTTTAAGTTAATAACCGTATAGACGAAAATTGTCTACAAATATTTATATTTTAATTTTCCAGACATGTCAAAATAATTTCAAAATATTTAAGCTGTTTTTGAACCATTTAAAATATTCAAATTTTAAAATTTTTTTAATGTTAGGGGCAACGAGTGGTTGTTGTTTTTGGAGTTGCTGAGTAGATTTTTGAAAATTTAAATCCACCGTTTATGGCACCTGGTGGGGTGATTTTAATTGCATAATGCACACTTTGACGGGGGGAAATCACGACTTTTAACGCAGGTGTTGCAGTCATTTTGGTGGTTGTTAATCAGTGTAATATTATGTTCTGATTTGGCCAGTATTGGCAGTTTAAAGATTAAACAGGTCTGTTTTTTGATTCGTGGACACTTCGGTGCTTGTATTTCAATTTCAGTGTGGCATAAATATTTAAGTTCGAATACATTTTTGTTGTGTAGTACAGGTTTCAAATCGACAAAAAATAGAGATAGGGATGTCTTGGATGTTCTATAACAGGCGTTTATAATGATTAATAATTCTAGCTAAGAAATATTTTTCTTCTTTATTTTAGTCCCTCTTCAATATCACAGTCGAGTTGCGTGATGGAGGATGTAATTTTTTGAAAACAATTCGATACAGTTTATTTTATTTTATTAGGTTGGCAAAAATTCAACTTTTGATTATTTTAAGAATTTACTTGATAATAACTGCTCTATAAACATTTGGTGAGGTACTGTTGAGCTTCAGTAGCCCGGTAAGATTTTAGCAAGTGAATTATTCATCAGTTGGTTCTATTTAATTAATTTTTTTTCGCAAAACTCTTAGCAATTTAGTATTTTGCATTTAAGAGGGCTGGAACTTGACGCGTTTTAAGGAGTAAGATTTAGGCATTTCATATAGCAATTATATTTGAGCTGTGTTACTGTGTGAGAATTGAATGAATGTTAGTGTGTGTAATCCGTAAAATTCGTAATCAAGTACATACATTTCCGTACGCGCAGGAACATGTGAATGATACGCCCTATCAAATATACAACATGCTATTCAAATGACAACTACAAGACAGTGCTACAGCCTACAAGAAATGGTTTTGATTACCTACTATATCGTAATAATTCTGTGATTAAGTTAAGATAATAGTGATAATCTGACCAAATTTAGTTGTTAAATGTGTGATTCAAGCGAAACGACCTGGGTCCAGTTGAAATCGAAGATATTTTTTATACATTAATAGGGCTTTCCTAATTAGGTAGTTGTAGCCTGTAGGTATGGTGTTTTGATTTATAATTTTAATTAGCGGTACTATAAAAATACTTTGACTGCTTTTTGTTTAAAGTGCGTCGAGTTCTGATTGGAGAGGAGTGGTGTATTACTGGTTCATTAAAAATATTGTTCGTGTAACTGGTTTTTGTTGAATTTTTTTATTCATTTCATTGTTTTCTGAGAACGGTTGAAGGCAAAATGTCCTGAAGGCAGTAATACTCACAGAAGTTTTAGGCTAAGCTTCTAGAATATATAGGAGTACCTATCACTCAAAATCATTAAATTTAAATGAGTATTTACTCATATTTGAAATAATTAACAGCACGAGCAAATGTGTGCACAGTAGGTCGACCGACACAGGAATTGGATATTCACATCCAAAAATAATGATTTTTGTTATTTTGTTGTCATTCACAAAAAGTTATTCCAAGAAGCGCTCCACTTCTACTATAATAATCAATGATATTTTCAAACATTTTAAGCTATTTGTATTTTGTAGACATTTGAAATTTTTTTTAAGTATTGATAAAAATGTTCATGCTTGGGCAAAAAATTTGAACATTTAATACAATAGGTCATTCAGGTCACGATTAAAAAAAGATGTATACCTATTATGCACAATTTTTGTATTAAGAGATAGGTATGTGAAGTACAAATTTTGACAAAATGTAATTTTAACCAAAAAATTTTTATTTATTTAGTAGTATTGTAAAAAATGTTATTTGTTGGGACTTGAAACTCTTGGTCATTACGTATGTTATTATTTAAAACTGTTTAGACTAAGCTATGAACCCGTTGATTTTATTTTTAAAAATATTCATTAAAATTGTATAATAACAAATGACATTACAATTAATATTATCCTGTATAAGTGTATAACATATTAAAAATAGTATTTAATGACTGCAATGAGTGCTAACTAACGTCAGTAAAATGTACGTTGTTACAATTCACTAATCAATTTAGACCAGTCATTATATTTTTCTAACATTAGTTGGGATGGATATTTCTGGTACAATTATAAAAAATAGATTTTTTAAGTACCCACAGATCTTAGAAAGCTTTATAAAAATACCACAATGGCGAGGACAACAGAATATCTAAATCTGCAATTGTAATGATTCATTGAAATAGCTGTAGAATGTAGAAAAGTATGTAAATAAAATATATGATATGATAACTAAAACTTATAACCATCAGTCAAATATATAGAAATCATTACAGGCACATCTATATCGCATAATTATGTGTTAAACTTATCATAGTAGTAAAAAATCTAAGGCAAAATAAATATGACTACAAACTTGGGTAGTAATAAACACCACTTATGCTAAATAATAAGCTGAAGAAATCACAAATATTTTAACCAAAAACATTAGCGTTATGCTTCGTCAACCCTGATACCTATATTATTTATATGATAAAATATTATTTACTTTTATTAATTTTATATGAACCTGAATTTAAACTCAACGCAAATAATGCATACTATATAATATAATGGCCAGTACCTAGTATTTTCACAATTATACTCACATGTCACAAATCACAACAAAGAAATCATTTTAATTTAAAAAGTAGTAACTAAGCGACAAGATTACAAGAGTACTACTGCTAACTATAGTATTTACTGACGATTAACCGAAAATTATTACAAAAAGAAGGAAATATCTAAAATGTAAAATACTTGAATTTTATATTTTAATTTAAAATCATACGTTTTCATACCGAATTATACAATATCACGGAACAATATAATCTGAGAATTGACAACATTGTGATTAATATAATATACATAATATGTATATATATTACAAAATTATAATAGCACGTGCGTCGTGCATTATAAGAATTCTCCATAGAAATATACATAGAACATTATAGAAGCGACACTCGCCCCTCCAATTTCATTTTTTTTATTTCGCGGCGGTCTGGTTGATGTTGTAAGCAAAGTGGATATATAAATCTTAAATTGTGGTAAGGCATGATGTTAGGAACGCTTTTATCGTCGAAACGGACCGCTCGAGACCAGCAGGCTGACAATGAAGAAATCTTCATTCTCCATGCTCGAGACCAACCCGCCAATATTTAAAAAAAGGTCACTAAATATTATATCACAATATACTACCTTAGAATAAATATCCATGTATGATATATAACTATATAATAATAATATTAAAATAACTAGGAACCTATATTATTTTATGATACTACCATGCATATATAAACATATTTATAGAAAGCCATATTCAGGGAAAAAAAACCATAAATAAATTAAGAAAAACTTGCAAATACCTAGCACAAAAAATAGAAAATTGCAAATTGTATGTAATTTATAAATATTGTTATGCATATATTTTGTTATTTGATAATGAGGTTATTCATTTTGTATAAGAACATGATCTGTAAACAAATTAATGTAAAATGTACTGTTATTAACTAGTTATATTATATTAAAATTTGCTGTTATACTATTTCATTATCTAGTCAGTAGTCTGTATATTTTCTAATTATGTAAATTGTAATTCTCTACTTTCAACCATCGAACATTAATGTTCTATGCTTTAACACAAGCTTGTCTTATAGGAGGTAGGTAATTCATTGTTTAATACCTTTATTAGATAAGAAGTATACATACACTAATAAATTAATATCTAAAAAAAAACTACTTCCAATATTATTGAATAAATATCTTAAAAAATAAACTACCCGTGATCCGTCATATTTTTTATCATCATATTTCATATACAGTAGTCCCCGCTTATTGGACTCACTTTGGAACCCGACAATTTGAGTCGATTAACCGAATGAGTCAATAAGGCGAATGACTCAAAAAAATTTAAAACGTACCTATTTACTTAAAAATATGTATTGAGATCGCGAGATCTTCGGCTTTTGGGCGCAACAGTGGTCCTATAACTCGGCCATCTTTTTCTCTGACTTTTGTGAACCATTGTTTCAAAGTTTCTTCAACGTCTTCTTCTTTACCGACCCTTTTTCTTTTACGGTTTGAATTCACATTTTCTAATGATGCATTTTCGGTTTCCTGTTGACTTTTCAGCCTCGTATCTAGTAAACTTTGAGACACGTTTAACTTACATGCTGCTTTTCGCTGGCTCATTTTCGGATGCTCGTCATATTTTTTAAGGACATCTAATTTTTCTTCCACACTCAAATCACGTCGTTTGTTCATTGTAACACGAAAAATAAGAATTTTTACATAGTATTTTTTAAACGCAGACAACACACTGAACACGACGACGTCTATTCATTCACTACCTGTCATACTAATTGACATTGACGACTGCTTGGTTTATCTTGAAAAAGTAATTTATTTTATCTATTTTATTTATATTTATTTGTATAACTTATCTTATAAAAGCAAAATACCGGTACCGACTTATTTATAACACATTTGTTCAATGTATGTATTTACATATTTTTTTTATTTATCTAATTTTCAAATGACCCCATTAACCGGTGTATGAGTCGAATTTTGCTGTGTATACGTGTATATGTGCGAACTGGGACCAGCCGTTTTGAGTCTAATAGGCGAATGAGTCAATAAACCGTGAGTCCAATAAGCGGCGACTACTGTAGTACAACATTTAAAAAAAAACAAAATATGTACAATGTAGTAAGCTTGGCGGTAAAACAAAAAGTCACGAATCATTTCAAGGCCGTACAATTTTCTAGACTCATCAACGTTAGCCGACCGAGAGTGTCGCTTCTATAATGCATGACAAAATAAATTTATTTTGTCATGTTATAATGCTCTATGTTATAGGCAACCACTTGGTTTTTGTCGGATGTGGTTATTCCATCATAATAAAGTCGATATATTATTGAAAAATATTATCGGAAAAAAAATGTTATCAAATAGTTCCGTACAATACGTACATAATATATCATGTGGTCATTATTTGGGCGGCGGGCACAATATAATTAAATGTATTATTTTTTTTTAAACCATAATTTTCTTTTTATAATTATTTGTTGAGCAAGACGTATATTAAAATGTTTTTGTATACAATTTTATTTAAAAAATCAACAGGAATTGGTGGTAAGTTCAAAGTTGTGATAGTAGAAAATGAGGGAAATATTTGTGCCCCGCCTTCAATGAACCTCACGAGCCGCCGCTATATAGACTATATATTATTATAGACTATAGAGTGACATTGTCACAAATCACAATTTACTATTTAGTATAAAATATTATTATACATTTTTAGTATGTTAGCAGAGCGTGATTGTGACGTATATTATTCCATAGAACAATATAGTATTAAAAAAAAACTGTATTTCTTGTAGTATTTGTGGAGAGATAATACATGGAACAGCGATTAAATATATCTTAATAATTAATATAGGTACCTACTTCAATATTGTTGTATGATAATTGATAGTATGATTTCAAGCATGAAAATAATTGCACAATGACACCCAGTACCGTCCAGCCTACAACTCATTATAGACATTAAAAAAGAGATAAGACAGATAAGTAAACGCCTTAATGCCTTATATTAGTATTGAGGACCTAATTTAATCAATTTATATTTAAATAGGCACATTGATGAATTAAATTAATGCTAAAACTGTGAACTGTGAAGTACAGTAATTTATAGAAAATAGGAATAGAAAGACAATATCCAGTTATCAGCTATATGCAAGTCAATCAAAAATGTAATTTTGTCAATCTAGTTAGAACATATACATTTCATAATTAAACCCAAGTTGGATTCTGAAGTAAAACCAAATACAATAACTGTGCATCTGCTATAATGGAAAAGGAATTCCCTGATACCCCAGACATACAGTCAGAGTGCAATGACAGAGAGGTACCAATATTTTTATTATTTACACATATGATAATGATAAATTCAGGTTCAGCTGGCATGAATATATAAATGTATTAATTACAAGCTAAATTTGTTCTGAAATTAATAAATGATCAACTTAAAGTAAAATAAAATTCTTATGTTTTATTAAAAGCACTACAAGTTGACAAGAGTACAACCTGAAACGACCAATAAGAAGTTTAAACTGATCATAGTGGGTCACTCAAATGTTGGAAAAAGTACTATAATAAATCATTTCTGCAGTAGTGTATACCAAGATACTGCACCAACCGCAGGTATACCTGTCTATACAAGTATAGTATTATAGCTATATGTATATGTAAGATATATAAAAATTGTTTACTAACATATAATTTAAATATTGGTTAAGGTATTTAACTAATAATTAATAACTATTACTGTTAGACATGTAATGTAATATGTTATTACACTTAGGTATGGACTTTCAAGAAATATTTGTCAGATTTGAAAACGAAACCATCCTCTTAAATATTTGGTAAAGATTATTAATTTAGTGTATAATATATCCTAAAATATGGCACCCAGGCATAATATATCATATACCTATTAAGTACACTGTTAATTTAATACTTTTACATTCAGTATTAAAACTCTCACCGTGTTTATAATTTAAAATTGAGCCAGTACTGTCATGTTTCTTATTGTTTTAGGGACACGAGTGGGACAGAAAAGCATCGCTCTTTAGCTCAATCATATTATGGAGGAGCTCATGGTGTGTTTATAGTCTATGATATAACAGATTTAAAGTCTTTGTATAAACTAGATGGGTGGATAAAAGATATTGAAAAAGTCAGTAATTGTATAATAATGAAGTTTAATTTATTATTAATTTTTGTCATTATAGTAAGAGGCAAAAAGTGAGCTGTGACTGCCAAGTATCAAGTGGCTGTTTTCCAGCTGTTTTCTATTTAAAATAGTGCTATAATTACCACTTATTGTATTGAATATGAGCTCTAACAGTTAACATTTCTTCCAAACGTAGGACCACTAGAACCCATTAAAACAAGAAAATCAACCTAAAGAGTGCAGGATGGTCGAGGCTCATTTTTCACCTCTCCTACTGTGATTGACAAGATAGTACACATATTTAAATCAGTACTTTATATGAATAAAATAAAAATCATAATTATTTTTTTTCAGTTTTCTGATGTAGATATTGTGAAAATTTTGATTGGTAACAAATGTGATGATAAAATAAACAGAGAGATATCAATCAAAGAAGGACAAGAAGTAATTATATTGAATATTACACATTAAATATCTATCATATAAATAACTACCTATTTTCAAATAATTAATTCATTAGTTGTTAAAAGACAATTTCATCCTTCAATTTGGTTAAAAAAATATTTTTCCACTCTAATTATTGTTGATGAACAGGGTTGGGGGATTTTATAACATTTGCATATTTCTTATAAGATCCATAAGTTATAGCGAATAAGCTAAAATGTGTTTCATGATAGCTGTGGTGTGTAACATAAGGTCCAAGTGTTGCTCAGGCAACACCTTAAATATTTGTGGGTGGGTGTGTATTGATAGAAGAAAAATAGGACATTTTATAGGTCGGTATAACAGTATAATGAGGGGTAGGTGACCTAAAATTATTTGAGCAACACCTATTTTTTTTATAAAACCATATTTTAGTAAATGTGTTATTAAATTATTTTCAATCGAATTGTTAAAGTAAATACAGTGGACGCCACGGATATAAGGTTCAGTCGCTTATTAGACTTAAAATTGTCTGAAACGGTCCGGACGTATCCAAATACGTTATAAAAATTTCGGTTATAAGACGCAAATTTTGTAAAAAAAAAAAAATGGTAAAAAATAAACATTTTTGGTCAAAATTTAGAAATAAATTAATGTTTTTTGCTTTATTATGTGTGTATGTACAACAAATTATATCGTCTTTCACATTTTCCAATATATTTCCGGAATATTAGTTTATAACAAAAAAAAAAACAAAATCACAATTTTTTTTCATAAATAATAAATAGGTACATTAAACATGCATTTTTTATAATTTTTTATTAATGCATATAATCATTTTTTACATGTTTTTAATTTTTTTATCAGAATTTTTTTAATTTATTCAATAATAAGTATGTCATATGTAATATGTATTAGAGTATTAAAATTAAAGAAAAATATGTAATAAAATAAAATTCATAAATATGTAATTAATTTTTTTTTCCCACTTCGCCTATAAGATTCATTCTGTTATAAGACTCACTTTGTGCTGGTCCCAATGTGAGTATTATAAGCGGCGTCCACTGTATATGAATTAAGTAAATACCAACTACGTGGAAGCGCTGATACTACGCGAGCTATGAGTCGTTCATATTTTGTATTATTTGGTTCAAATATGTAACTTTTGTTATTTATTGGCTTAGTTGGGGTTTTTTGTCCATTTTACAATAGTTATCATCTCTACTTCCAAGGGATGATTTAACGAGTGTTGAATCGCTGTATACTCTATTAATTTTAGACAATCGTCTCGTTTACGTACCTGTACTCAGAGTGACTATAAATGTTTCAAAACTTAAATCAACAATAATTTGTAAGTGATTTATAAATTATAAATTATTAAACTTTCGTTTTTTTCTTCATATTTTGTGATATTTAAGGTAATATTATGGCACATATTTATGCGATTTTAAGAGCTATAAACTCCCAACACTGTTGATGATAATAAATGTTTTGACTTTATAGATAGCAGAAGTGTATGGAATTCCATTTTTTGAAGTGTCTTCTAAAAGCAATATAAACATAGACAAATTGCTGTATACAATGATTTCTGACTGTATTAAAAAAGAGGTAAATTTTAAAAGTTAATGTTATGTTACAAAAATATGTTCAGTAGTATAATATATTTTTTAGTGCATTGATTAATGCTGAAACTCTGGAGTACAATTTCATAAAGTAACAGAAATGGTATACCAGGGTCCAGGTTATTAGCTTATGCCATGCAGGTCAATCATAAATAGACATTTTTAAACTTAGTAGAACACATAAATTTCATAAACTCATACACATACCAAATACGATACCATTGTGGAGTCCTACAAAGGAAATGGAATTACCTCGGTCCCTAACATACAGTTGAAGCACACTAATAATACAAAAATAGGCACAAATTACCTAATTTTTTTATATTACCCTTATATTATAATACATAATATATAATTTCTAAAGTCATATTATCTTAGTAATATTAGTGCTAAGTATAAGCAATTGAATTAATGGCATTATGTCCCCCAAGAACCTCCACCAGTATATTCACCAATGCAAAGAAATACCATTAATAAATTTCAGAAATTCTGGTTATCCTGGTATTAACTGCAATCTAAAATTCTTAACTTGTTTTGAAGTGTATGCATGATTAAGTACCTTAAAGTAAAATAAAATGTTTATGTTTTATTAAAGCACTACAAATTGATAAGAGTGCAACCTGATCAGAATACAATATATAAGAAGTATAAACTGATAATTGTTGGTCACTCAAATGTTGGGAAAAGTAGTATAATTCATCGTCTTGTCAAAGATGTTTACAAAGATACTTTAAAAACCACTATATGTATGAGTATAGTATTAAAATTAAAATAATATGTCTGATAATAAATATTTGTTAGATATTTAACCAATAAGGAATAATGTTATGCATTACACTTATACACTTTAGGTATCGACTTCCATAAAATATTTGTTAGATTTGAGAACGAAACCATCGAACTAAATATTTGGTAAGTATTATCAATTTAGAATTTATATTCTATAACTGGGCACCTAGATTATATATTGTTTAAATTATACTGCTAGCTTAGAACTTGAAATTTTAGTGTCATAAATGCTCTTTCGTGGAGTTATTTTAATTAAAAAATGAATCAGTACTATTGTGTTTCTCGTTGTTTTAGGGACACTGCTGGGACAGAAAGGTATCGCTCTTTAGCTCATTCATACTATAGAGGAGCTCAGGGTGTATTTATTGTATATGATATTACAGATTTAAATTCTTCATTTAAACTAGATGATTGGATAAAAGATATTGAAAATGTAAGTTATTGTGTAATAGTTAAGTTGATTGTTCTTTGATTTAATTTGTTATTCATTGTTGTCATTAATTGTGGAGATAATACAAATTTTAAATCAGTATTTTACATAAATAAATAAATGATATATTTTTTCAGTTTTCCGATTTAAATGCAGTAAAAATTTTAATTGGTAATAAATGTGACGATAAATCAAACAGAGCAATCTCAATCAAAGAAGGGCAGAAAGTAATTATATTAAATACAACACTAATATCCATCAAATAATTTATTCATCGATTAATGAAGATAATTTCCACCACTATTTTAATATATTTTGACAACTTTCAATGTTTTTAGATAGCAGAACTGTTTGGAACTCTATTTTTTGAAACGTCTTCCAAAACCAATGTGAATATAGACAAATTATTGTATACAATGATTTCAAAAATACACGAACTAGAGGTTGGAGATCAACAAACAGCAGATGAAGACTTGATAATAGTGGTAAATTCTAAATACATGTACATAATGTATTTTATAAATTAAATATTATTGTCCATGCATATTACATGTATCATGTAAATATAGAATTCATTTTCCATATTTTACAAACTATTTGTATCCAGTTCTAAACTAATGTTGTATACAATTCCTTTAATCGATATATATCAACAGTTGATAATTTAGTATCATACATTATACAGAAATTAAAAAAAATAATTATTATTATTTAAAATATTCTATTGAATTGTATAGTATTGTTTATTTAATATTGTACCTACTAATTACTATGTAGTATCAAGTATGTACTATTACTAAATACTACGTCTATACCTAGCCTACAGCTTATTAGTTTATATACTTAAGGCGGAAATGGCGATGAAGAAACATATCGGCTATTTTATAAACTAAACAAGATAACTGATATATTATTTATTTAATCGAATACGATATGTAAATTTATTTTGTTAAAGTATCTTTATCTTTGTTATTTGTACCCGCATAATTCATACTCCATCAATACATAATAATATAATATATCACTTATAAACAATATAGTTAATAGTTATACTGTTATGGAAATAAGCTACCTTTATACAACGTATAACGGTCTAATGTCTCACATATTGTTATCGAAAATAAAATATTATGGTTTAGTGTTATTTTAACAGGTTATATAATCATATTTTAGTACATTTAAATTAAATTGTAATAGTGTGTCATATCAAATTATATCTGTTTATTATTTTTTTTTTTGTGTCTGTCATCATGGGTTTTTGCAGTAAAATTACTTCGATTTTCTTCAACAGCAACTTTTCTGGTCGGAAAGTGACTCTAGTTGGTGCTTAAAAGATTTTAAAATTTAAAATTCCAAATAGTTTTCAAAAGCAACAGGAAAAACAAACAAAAAATTAAGAAAAAAGGGAATTTGTACGCAAAACAAGTTTTCAAAAAAATCAATTTTGGTTTTTACTTTTTAGTGTAACTCTAAAAAAATGACCAGATACATGACATTTTCACTGAATATTTTTGTTAGCTTTTTCTTTACACCATACAATTTTCAAAATATTTTGACTTGTATTGAACTATAATAGGCATATGAAATTTTCGATTATAATTTAGGTTTTGTAAACTAAAGTCGATAAAAAAATTTTCGCTCGGTCAAAAAACTTGTAAATGTAATACAAGGTTTCTCGTAAGTTCTTTCTAGTGGAAATTAAATAAAAAGTCGAGCTTAAATCCACAATAATTTTTTATGAGTGTTTGAATTTAGAATTTTGACAAAATTCGTAAAAATCAAGAAAATTACTTTAAGTAAATTATTTTATTTCTTGTCAGGTGGCACTGCTGGGAGCCTTCCTTCTCTTTGAATTGTTATATTCTTTAAGTCACCACACTTACTTATTATACACTGTATGTATAGATTGTAAATACACTTTTATTTAATAAAAAAAAAAAAAAAGTAAATTATTTTAAGTTAGAAATTCATACTAATTTTTATTTTTATATCTAAGATTTGAAAATTTAATACACAACTCTTGATATATTGTTACAATAGCAATTGCAAAACATTAAAAATACATTGGCATGATTTTTTTTATAAGCATTTAAAGTTGAAATGTTGACAATATTTATCAAATTGAAAATGATTTTGTAGTTAAAAATTCATATAATGTTCGACTTTTATAGCTTAAGATTGAACATTTTAAACATAGTTCTACTTAAGAAGTTTTTTCCGTAACTAATAAAAAATCTAAAAAATATTTAAATACAGTTATTTTTTATAGACATTTTAAGTTCAAATTTGGACAATATTACATATTCACACAACGAATAACGTTTATCATTTTGTTGTAATTCGGTTCCAAAACGGTAGTGTTTCATGTGTTTGAATGCCGTATGTCTGAACTTCAAGTGTACGAAAGATTGTTTGTTCGAAAGACGTTTTGTATGAAAAGGTCGTGTGTTCAAAATTATCGATAAACGAAAACAACATGAATTTTACCATAATATTTATTATTCGTTGATTCGATGGTCTGTGTAAAAAGTTAAATTTAAAAATATAAAAAGTCGTAAAATAAATAAGTCATTAATAAATGTAAATGTTAAATTAAAAAAAAAAACTAAAAACTTAAATTGTATGATAGTCCTCGTAAAAACTCAATAAATATATTTATTTATTATTTATTTCTGAATTTTTTAGTCTTAGAACTAAATTTTGAATTCGTTGTTCCCGTTCTTCTTTGCATGTTTTTTTTTTTACTTGTTCCGCCTTGAACAATTCGATCTATAGAGTTTTCAGTTTCATTCTGAATTTTTTAGAACTCTCTCATCAATTTGTAAACTCCTGGTTGTTTGGATACTAATCTATAAACATTTTTTACATATTATAACCCCGTTATAACGTTCACTTTGCAACAAATTATGTTATGGCTATTGATACAGTGTTTCTACCTATTAAGTCGACCGTGCTATGATTCAGTAATATTTGCTGTTCTTGGCAGATTTTCATCAACTCTTGAAGAGGTTTAATACGTCCGCGTAGTCTCATAGCTGGTTTACCATTAATGTAGGTATTTCCAAAATATTCTAAAAGTGATTGTTCTCTTTAGTTGTCACTAAATAATAATTTCACAATTTCCCAACCTTCGATTACCTAAAAAAAAAGTGTTGTGTATTTTTTTTTTAATACGTACTCTGTTTACTGGGGGAAAATAAAAAGCCGGCAAATGCCGATAAATCAAATTAAATTGGGTCTTCCATGTACTTTGTAGATAGCCCTCTTTTTGAATATGGTGCCAGATATTTTGACAAAAATGAAAAAAACAATCAGAATGCGTTACAAATGAAAAGACGACATTGATCGCGTCGACTGAAGCTTTTTCAAAGTCCGTTATTATTTCAAGTTCATTATTATTTTCGAAATTCATATTATTTTCAATCGCAAAATTAGTAAACACATTTAGCACTGTTTTATAATCATCTTCAGTTTGGTTGGTCATCAGCCGTATAGGGTATAGCAATGGTACACAAATGTTATTGATACCTCGTGAAATTGACCCACGTATTGTAAATATCTGTTTAAAAATTCCAGGACAAGCCTTGAATGTTCCATCAGCAAGCCAAAAATATGATTCTCACAAGTATATACAATCCTAAACTGTTTTGAAAATCATAAATTTATTATTTCCTTTGATTACATTTTTCAAAAGGAAAGGTTGTCCTGAAATTGTATTTTAAAGTTCCGAAGGAGGTATAAAATTTAGTGAAATTGGTTCTAGTTCTTTCCCTTTCTCTGCCTTTTTACGATTTGCTTAGGTGCGTTTTTAGTTACTTGAGATGAAATTATGACATCGCAATTCGCAATTTCGTCCAGATATATTTGATTTGATGAGTCTTATGAAGCTTGAGCACATTTTTTTAAATTTTGCGTTGAATTTTAACGGCATCTGGTGCGTGGTAATGATCATTAATAATAAAACAATCGTCTTGTTTATGTTCACCGTGATCAAATATTGTCCAAAATGTTGGTCCACATCGTTATGTGCATTTCCAATAATATATATTATTTTTATCACGTATTCGCAGTAGTATCTTATCAAGCATGAATTCATAATTATTTACAAGTAACATTTTCTTGTCGTGTATACTTTTAAACGTCTTTAAACTTGCCATTTAAAAAAGAAAAATCACTTACACAAATTGAATAAAATATTATTTAAAAACAACATTCAAACGAAATTGTGTTCGACACTTTTGTAATGATGTATAAAGCCGTACTGATAGACGACAGACAAAAAAAAACATCGAGAATACCTGTAATACTTAAATCAGTAAAGTTTATCGATAATTATTACGAACATACGACCTTTCTTACACACAGTCTTTCGAACAGATAATCTTTCGGATTCGGACACTTGAAGTTCGGACATACGGCATTCGAACACATGACTCCTTACCTTCCAAAACAGCCCAATTTTACATAAGTATATTTAATATTTTTCCAGCATCACTGATAATTTAGGAATAATATTAATTCAACTTATCAGTAGTATGAAGTAATAACAATATAAAATATCCTAGACTGATTTACAGTCTCCGTTCGGAATCGTTTTTGGTATACAATTATATGATATCATAGAATTCAAATTTAATACCATCCAATACAGCGACCTTCTACACACCTAATATACAGCAGAGTGACTTCCACTTACTCGCTTTTTTAATAATGAAAATACCTTAAACTGTAATTGATTATGTATTTTTGTTCTTTTATAGGTAATGTGATTATTCGGGTAAAGATTAATGTATCCACGATGATTTAAATTATGTCAATTCTTAAGACGCTTTATCGAAATTGCAGCGTTTCTCCTAGATTGGCAATAAATTTATTCCAGGACAGCATACCCGGCATCGAACCTATATAATCCAGCTTTGCTACTCTGGGTTCACCACCGGGAAAATCCTGCGTTTTCCGTTTTGACCACGATCCACGAAAAGTTTATGCGGTTTATATAGTGTTACGAATTTTAAAGATCTAAATATAGGAGGTCAGGTTGAAACATTAAGTGACAAATTAATAAAAATATGTTTAAGTTTTAAATTTGTCTACATTTTTAAAGAAATTTAGGTCACGATTGAAATCTCAAATCGATAAAAATCTTTTTAAAGAAATCAAAATATCTACCCATAATATTAAAATTGAAAATTGTTTTAATAAAGTTCTGTAGTAAGTTAATTTATTTATAAACTTAAATGCATTATGTGCCTATATGTCGTACGCTATGAGGTATTTAAAAAAGATTATGTAAGTAAGATTTTTGATTATGGTGAATAAATAATTTGAGCCTCCCTAGATGTTTATCCAGTTACGGCACTGCGGGGTTGATCACTGATTGATTCAAATTAAATATATAAAATATACATTTAATTTAACCATAAGTAAATAATCTTAAATAAATCTTACATTACTAGTTTCAAGTGCCATATGTATTATGTGTATAATACAATTATACTTCAGTGATACATAACTACATAAGTAGTAAGTATTCAAGTACCAAGTATCAAACGGAATAAAAGCCTATAGGTATTTATAGGTACAGAGATATATATTAATTTATTACACTTAGTTAATTTCTGTTGAATAAATACAAATCTTCTACGGATATAATGATATTATTTTTTATGTAGTGATTATTAATATATTATATTATACTATTAGTGTACTGACATATATCATAATAACAATTTGGTGTAACATAAATGAAAAATTATACAACTTATATTATACTAACTACTGAGTACAAATGGGCCACTCATATTAGTTCAATTTAACCTTCCTGCCTAAACTTATATACAATTATATTTTAAATTTTAATATTGAATTACCAGCTACAACAAACATCACCTTGGCTACTTACGCAGACGACACCGCAATACTTTGTGCTAATAATGACCGTGACGAAGCATCCAATTGTTTACAAACACACTTAGATTCTATCGACAACTGGGCAACCAAGTGGTGAATAAAAATAAATCCAGAAAAATCTGTTTATGTACCATTTACTTTAAAAAGAACATAACCCCTACCTGTTCACTTTCAAGGTACTCAAATTCCATCATCTCCAAATGTCAAATATCTCGGAATTACCATTAATAAAAGATTAACCTGGGGCCCACACCTTAAACAAAAAAGA